ACTAATTTTGAAATCACAAGTGTTATGATCCAACAATTAATTGTTTGAAGTTGATGCATACGTACGGAGTATCATGTGATTAGAGAGATCAACACAATAGTGTATACACACCGTAACATGTTATTTCATCCACGGCCGTAGATATAACTGCAGGGCAGGAGTTTTTAGTTTTAGAATAATTTTGTCACGCAAACACAGACTCTGGACATGAGTAGTGCCTATCCCAAGATTTTGAAGGCAAGAAGTCCATATGTTGCCATTATTGGAGACGTGGGTCGGTTTGTAGCCAAAAAACATGACTTCAAGGCTTCAAGGTTTTGCTGGTGGGGGGTAATAGTTGGCCGTCAAAGCAGCAAAGGCATTGATGAGGAAGGCCTATAAGGAGATAGAGCTTCACGATGTGCAAAGACAGAGAAATAAGTAATGGCTTCTCTTTAATGCTCTTCAACTACACCTCACACATGTCTGCAAACCTCTTTCTCGTGCCCATACTTACTCAAAAATTGATGTATTTGTCTAATGACATATTGCTAGGCTAGGCACACGCTGAAGGTGAACTTTTGTTTTCTGTAGTGTAATCTAACCTCTTCGAACATGGCTAAGGCCAGCCTTGAGTCTAATATATATTTTTTTTTTTCCTTTTTAACAAGTCGGTATTCTAATTTAAACTAATTAAGAGAGGAAGATTCAAACTCAGATTAAGAGAGTGAACTTAAAATATTGCCCCATGATGATGAACCAAACTCCATACCAGTGTAACATGGACCTGCATTGTTGTTGTAGCATGGCAGAGCAACTGTAGCAGTGAGTGCCCACTTGGCACTAAAAGCACTTATGCCGGTAGCGCTTTAGCAGTTACAAAAGCACTCCCTAACGACCCTAGTTTTGGTTGGCTCACAGCCAATTCCCTTGCCGTCCTTCTGTGGATAAAATCTGTACAACTGGTGACATCAACAGTCAACTGTGCAATTTTCGTTATTTTGTGGGGGGAAATCTACCCTATTACTATTATACGACTGAAGGCATTCAAGAATCTCTCATAAGTCATCAGAATTGCAACTTCTGCATTGTTTCTTTAGCATAAAACTGAAAACTAAGCCTTTGCAATATGTTTTCTCGTCTCTTTTTTTGGCCAAAACAATTACAACATCAATTACTCGCAACAAAATTTTGAACCTATAGCAGAATAATGCATGCTAAAAATGATTCAATCAGAAGTCTACTTGCTTACAAATATGATTCATTCTATAAATCAGTAACTTGAAACTAAAGGCAACTCTAATTCCAGTTCAGCCAATTCTGACCCTTACCCTAAGTCATAAAAAAGTTAAAACATCAGCAAACCCTATACTGTAAATAACCGAAAAATGTACACATTCAGCAAAATTCAATCGATCACACGACCAGAAATACATAAATTTATGCAGCATTTCATGTTAAAACACAAAATAAATTATCCAGAGAACATAGGCAGAAACATGAAGCATCAAATGCACAACATACCAAAATCTTCAACCATGAAATGTGTGAACCAGAATTTAAGGATCAAAAATAATAATTAGAGTTAAAGTATTTCTCAATCTTAAATACAACATACAAACAAAGCCCTACGGGAAAAACTAGTATAGCTATTTAAAATCCTACAAAAATTGTCTCAAGTTCAATGTATTACAGTCGCAGAAAAGAACACAAATCATTGAAACTGAAAATTCAACAGCCTCATGGATCCAACAGCTCAACTTAAAATCTTTTCCCATGGCTTACACCAAACTTGTAAAACGCCTCTTCAATTCTCATCAGCATGCCCGTCAACATGACTGTCAACATGCTCATCAACATGGCCATTCTCTGGTTCCACAGAACTGCTCCTACTCTCATTTTCCTCAGCACTGCACCGAAAGAAAACTATTAGTTTCAGAGTTTTAACGAACCCTGAAAATAGCAACAAATAGTTGAAAGCACGTCTAATCACACACATTACAAGTTACTAACCCCCTAAAAACTAAAAGAGAAATCCATGGTTACATGAACCTTTAACTTTAAATGGCTCCATTCAAGTCAGGTAGATCCTTCTAGTCCAATATTCATATTTAACACATACTTACATAAAACAACCTTTTGTTCCTTGTGCAGAAGCCAGGGTTAGGGATAGTAGTAGTATGTGTCAAACAGCAGAAGGGAAAATTGCAAAAACATCTAAAGATGAATGGGTAGCCTTCAGAATATCACAAGGTTAGGGTTGAAAATGAAAGAGGAGGGTGTTTTATCAAACAAATTAGAAATATATTACCCAAGGGCAAAAATAAAGAGATCGCAGTGCCACCAATTTAAACTTGTCTATGTGTGCACATGAGAAGATAAGAGGGCAAAACAAAGACAGCATAAAAAATCGTCAAAAGTGACTTGCAATTCATCATAGCACCAAGTATTTCGTAAAACTCAACCTATCAACAAGATAACAAGTAATGCTCGGCAAAGTGAATTTCTTTTTAATACAGAAAACTCAAGAAGCTTCCTTTTGGACACAAATGTAAACCATCAATGCTCAGCATCTCCCCCACAAGGTTGACAAATCCCTTATGAAAAGGTTAAACCGAAAGACACGCACATACATACATACAACCAATATGCTAATTCACTGTTCCATCAAGCAAACTTTCCTATAACTAACTGAAACCAATTCTATCAACAATGCATCTTTCCAATTAACATAGCTAAGAAAATCCATGCAATCAAGTTCAACATAGAAATATCAAAAGCATCAGACTTTACAACTAAGCATTCTAATTATTAGCGATTGATATACCCAATCAATCAATCATATGACTGAAACAACAAACCTCTGGGGACGAGCATCTGCCCCATCAGGCTTCCTCCAAGCTCTCTCAGTTCGATCACCGGCGCGCCCATTTCCTATCCCAAAACTCCTCTTCCCAAACGAGGGCGAGTGGTCTCTCTCAGCCACCTCCTTAATCTTCACCGACTCGAGCTCCTCATCAATCTTCTTCCAGTCCTTCCCCTTCTCTGCCAACACCTCCTCTCTTGGCCTCGCCTCACCAAACGGGTTTGACCCCTTGGGCTTCGGTACCGTCGTCGACCCAGGTGAGGTCTCGTTGCTCACAGGCAGTGTCCTCGGCTGCAAATTGAGCCTCGGCCTTCCAGTACCCTCATTCAGACCACCATTACTCTCCTCCTTCTTCTTCCCCCAAACCTCAGAATCCGCACCACCACCATTGGATACGAACCCAACTCTTCTTTCTCGATCAAAACCAGACCCACCATTACTCTCCTCCTTCTTCCTCCCCCAATTATCAGAATCAGCACCTCCATCAGATGTGAACCCCACTTTCCTCTCCCGATCGAACCCACCGGAAGCACCGAATCTCCGTCCCTCAGATGACACAGAGCTCTTATTGGATACCCAACTGTCCGATTCATCAGCCTTCGACTGTGACCCACCAAAGAAACTACCTCCTGCTCCTCTCTCCCTCCTCTCAAACCCATTTCCCACCGTCGATTTCTTCGCAGCGCCCCAATCATCAATCTCGTCCGCCCTGGAAGGCCCATCGCGGTTCGATTCCTTCCCAAATCCACCTTCCCTCCTCTGTCCCGAACCCCACTTCGAATCCGACGACTCTTCGCCGTTGGAAAACCTGCTGTTTCCTCGATCAGACCCATAGGACCTGAACCCGCCGCCGAGCCGATTCCTGTCGAGCTCCTCGGCGGTTCGCTCGCGCGGACCGGTCGGGAGATGCATGCGGTCCTGGTGGGTGAGACCCTCGGGCTGGGCCACGGGCTTGGGCGCGCCGAAGGCCGTGAACTCGGCGAGGGAGACTTTCTGGCCCTTGTTCTTCTTCTTGGGCTTGGCGGTGGCGGCTACAGACAAAGATGGGTAGTCGGCGGAGGGCGGCTCAACGACGTGTCGTGCGTTTTGGGTTTCTTGTTCGAGCTCGGCGTCCTGCTCTTCAGCGGCGAGGGCCCAAGCGCCAGGTTTGGCCCAAGGAGACACTGTTGCCGCCATGGTTGTTGTTACTGTGTGCTGCGATGAAAAGGTCTCTCCTTTGTTTTTGCGCAAAGGATGGATTTTTTGGCGAAGCGTTGCGTTGTTGAGAAGCGAAGAGGGGGTTACGAATATATAGGGTAGGGAAGAGAATTTGATCCGACGGTGGAGATTGAAGTTTATGATTTTCCTTATCAGAGAGAGAATCTCTCTTTTTTCTCTTTTTTGATCTGGAGAGGGAATCTGACCTTTTTTTTTTTTTCAATAATGATTTTGAGGAACTCTAAACCCTTACTAATTACCAATAGTAAATCAGTTATAGAGGAGTTATAATTGCAGTAAGAAATGAGTTAGAATTAGACTAGGCAATTTTGAATAGTAAAAAATGTGTTAGAATTAAGCTGGGGATTTCAATGTAACTTCGACTTTTTAGAGATAAGAAAACTTAAGAAATGAATTAGAATTATGATACGAAATAGCTATTCAAGAAAGATGAATGAGATTTTCATTTTCAACTTTTAGACAACTTCATATCCATAAAAACAAAAACAACAAGAAAAAGGTTAGCTTTCAGTAATTATCCATCCAAACCAAATTATTAATAAATCTCTCAATCTTAAAACGGCTTTATTTTATAGCATCATCAGAGCTCATATTACGTTATGAACTCATGACTTCTAGAATCTTAGGGGGGTGTATCCAATTCTAACTTTCAAAGACTTTTCCCAATAAAAGGAATTTCACGTTCTTTAATTTTGAAATTATCTTGTAATTAAACTATTTATTATTTCTTTTCTGGCTAAGCAATTTGGAAGATTTCATCGCTTAAATAATAAAATATTGCATAATCTTCACATTCGAGTTAAATTTTGAACATCCTGGCTAAAAAATAAAGGTTAAATTTTGACCATGGAAGAAAGATTATATGAATCATATAATTTATGGTTTACTGTGTAATAAAGTGTACAGTTCATTTGCCATTATACCAACAGAATTCATTGACAGGAAAAGCAAAAACTCAAGAGTTAAATACAAGATATACAATTCCCAAGCAGTATTTGCCCATTAATTGGCAAATATACCTCTCAGCTGTGTGTTCTATGATCTATCAATGCCAATATGAACTGAAGATTTTCTTAACCAAGGAAAAAAGGACTAATACAAACTAGAAAGACATCTATAAGAAAAAATATATACAAACTAGAAAGAAAAAGAAAGAATCAAACTGAATCAGATATCAAGAAGAATCATGCACGAAAACTAGTGAACGAGAAGCCGAGCATCGATATGTACAGATGCCATCAGCAGCCATGGAGAGACTGAGCATTGCCAAGATCACAACAAATATCTCTACGCACTGGTATTGATACAGAACTGCAGCCCCATTCCTGAGCTGAGGCTGATTCAGAACTTAGCATTGAGAGTGGTGCCACACCTCACACTTCAATTTAATTTGAGCATCCAGTTGAGGGTCGCATCCGCTGGCTGGTGAAGAAAGGCACATAAAAAGTAACTTTTGCAATCTGCTAAAAGCCCCAAGGTCTGTCTAGAAGAAACCGGGAGCTCCCAACACTACAAACACTACTCAAAGGGAGGCTATTGGCACCCAACACATTGCTACAACCTGTCCCTAAAAAAATTCATTTACTTTTTCATTATATCCCATATCATTTCATATCCTAAAAGAAGAAAGAATTTATAATAAAAAAGACTAGCTATGGCTGGTCTTATGCCACGGAAATGTCCAACTGGGGGAGGGGAGGGGAGGCCAATTTTTTTTTTAAAAATGAATAGGAGTAAATGGGTATTTGGAAGGTGTAATGAGCAATGTGCTAGATGCCCATAGACTCACCCCTACTCAAAATGATTGTTGCAGTGCAGCTTCATTGCTGGGGATTTCATTCTCCAAGATGATTGTTGCAGGGTTACGGTTCAGGATAATCTGAATTGTGTAAGGTGAGCAAACGTTCATCTTCAGAGCCCTTCATTGAATCTCTAATGTACCATGTTACAGTTCCTGCTATGAAAATAAAAACTACTATAAGCAGCCATAAGCAAAGATAGTAAATGTTAGAGCCAACTGTAAGTGTAAATATGCCCCTCAGTCTAACCAGTATTTAATGATGGGATTGCAACTGAGTAGTATCCTGATCAAGAGGAAAATGAATGTCTCGGATCATTGGGATCAAATTTAACATGCATCTGTTTTATTCTCAATCATCTTATAAGAATTTTCAATTGTCATGTTGATCTGAATTTAAAGGAGATAATAAAAACCCCAAATCCCAGATAATAGAATTATGCAAAGTCCATGTATACCTTGTGTAGATGATTCCTCATTTTTGGTTGCATGGAGTATGATAGTTCCTGACAGAACAGTGATGAATCCACATATTTCAGAGGCTATGCTGCTTGCATCCTGACCAGACCAATCCTGTATTGAACATAGAAAACAACATGAAATTCAGAATCCCATGTCTTCGTAATTGCATGAAAACAACCAATAAAGGCATCAGAAGAAAACCACAGTATATAGATCAAGCAATCTACCTTGAACATTATTACACTAGCAATAATGGTCAGAGTTGTGAACATCACATAATATACTGGGGCAACAATTGCTGCATTGAATGTATCCAAAGCCTGAAACAAAGCGGCCATGAACTTGAATGATGTGAGATTCAGCAGGTAATTATTATAATTTGAAGTCCATGAAAGTCTGAGTTAAAAGATGGCTGAATTGAAGTACTAACAAGATTACTGTCCAAGCAGCACGTGATACTTAAAGTTCAATTTTTCAATAAAGTAGACCAACTTAAACTTACTTTCCAATTTCAATAACTAAATTTTCAGATTTTGAGAAATTTCCAAACTTATTACAATGGAAATCCTGTGTGCTTGAGATTTGATATAGTGTTATTATATTTACAAGTTATATGACAGAGGCAGAATGCATTACTGTCCCCTCCTTTATATGCCAGGAACACATTGGAGTCAATATGTAACAAATGGACAAATCAGGATCTGAGAAACCAAATGCTGAATATGCATTGCAGGTGGAGCACAGATTTTTAGCACAAAATGGCTAGTCAGCACATAAAATGCCAATGATGATAGTCTCGGAGGAATAGACCAAAATTAATAGCGCAATACTGACCTTGTTGAGGTAATTCAACTGTGTAACTACGCAGATTACTGCAACAGTCAGAAAAAACCAAGTCTGAGGATAGGCTATCTGACTTACTCCCTCAAGAGTTAGCTTCATTGCAATTCCAATGGCCTTTATGCTTACAACCTGAAGTAGCACAGCAGAGGTACACAGCTAAACACCTAACAATTTGAACACATAAGACATAGAGGAACAAAGTGCCTATTTGTAATTGGCAAACTAGAAAATCATAGTTACCGTAAGTGAACCCATCAAGGAACAGATTCCCAAGTAGACTAGTATATTTGTTTGCCCATAGTGAGGTTCAAAATGCAAAACCAAAGTTAACACTAGGGAAAGTGTAGCAGCAACGTAAACCAGAAAAGCTGTGGAAAAAAAAAGGAAAAAAAAAGTAATATTTCAGGACAACACAATGAAGGTTCTATGGCAAGTAGCATTGAAGAAGAAGAAGAAATATGAGGTTTAAAGTCATGAACCTGGTTGGGTCGCCAGAACCCAGATTTCCTGTACAGAATTTAGAGTATGCTCTTGAGGTGCATGGATCACAATTACCACTGATCCCACGATGCAGGTAACACATCCCACAATACCCATTTTCTGTATTCGTTCCTTCAACAAGAAGTGAGCCAAAACAGCACTAGACAAATCCAACAAACATGCAAGTTGGTAACAAAAGCTTTTAAACAATACCTTGTTTTTATCAGAAATCAGCAATGAAATTAACTCAGAAGTGCACTTACCTGACTATTATACTCAGTGCACCAAGTGGGGTTACAAGAACTGCTGGAGCATATACATAAGCCACAAAATTGGCAACCTCTCCACCAATCACTACCCAGTTGAAAAAATTCAAAACCAAATATCAATAACTCACACGTACTTATCACTTCAGTCACATACATTTTCTGTAGAGAAAGAGAGAGCTGTACTTACTGGTGATCATGCCCGCCCACCAAAGTGGCTCTAGTAAGTAAGTATAACCACCAACTCCTGCACAACTCAAAAGACACAGATTTTCAATTACCCAAATCAAAGATGTACTACAAATCAATCACATGGAAACTTATTAAATAATCAAAAAACAATCAAAACCATGAATTAGCAGTTTGGATTCTGGAACCTATCAATCATCAAACACATAATTAAATTTCAAAAATTGAATCTTTTGGTTAAATCTTTGTAATTAACTCCAATTTCCGACCTCCACCATCCAAAAAAGGGAAATGCTAATGTGCCAATGGCATTGACATTGAAAATAAACTAAAAGAATATAACCCAGAATTCATGTAAGAGTAAAAATGACCTGCTCGAGTACCGGCAGCTCCAGCGCGCTTGAGACCCTTCTTCTTCAAGATGAAGCTCGCGCCTATGAAGGCGCTCGACGCCATCGCTAATATCAGCCCCTTCGTATTCTCTGACAAGCGTGGCCTCTCTCTCTCTCTCTCTCTCTCTCTCTCTCTCTCTCTCTCTCTAGAATTTCGAATTCCCGCCAACCAGAGTTGAACAAGTTGTACCTCTCTCCCTCTCTGTAAATTGCAATACACCCTCTGAAGCTTTCAGAGAGAGAGAGAGTCTCTCTCAACGCGAAGAAACACGCTTGAGCCCGTCGTCTAGTCGGAAGCTTCCCGTGGCAGTACGGACGGAGGTAACAATCCAGTGCTTCGCGCGCTCGCTACACCAACGTGCGGGATCTGATTCTATTGGCTATGGCTTTCTACTTTTCTTGAAATGACGATAGTACCCTTAGCTCATTCGGAGGGTGCCACGTAGGCAACAACGTAGATTGGATTCTCTGTTGCTGTTGTTACAGTTGAGTCACGTGGAATCAGCTGGATGACAGCTTATGCGCCAAAGATTGCCCTGGAGTTTGGACTTTTACTTTTCTTTGTAACTTTTTCTGGTTCTGTTTGGACGCTAGGAAAATTGAAAGTGGGAAAGTTTTAAATAAAATATAAAATATAAAATTGGCACCACGTCATGTCTGGAAAAATCAGGGCGTTTGTGCTAAATGGCCATTTTTCATGACTTTTATTCTATAATAGCTTCTGACTCATACAATGTCTCTTTGTTATCCGTATAGTTTCCTATTTATTGTCCCTATAGTAACCTCTTTAATACAAAACGGGCAATTTTAGAAAAAAATTTATGAAAAATGACTATTTTAGCTAATTTCGCGAAAAAAAGGAATGATGGATGACCTTATCTGCGTCAAGAAATTAGTATTATGGGATTTGCAAATATACTCTGCTATGGATAGTAATTTGGTTTATATACTAATGAATTGGATATGATAGATTTCATCCCTAAACCAAAAATTTAAAGAAAAACATTTAAAACAAAGCAGAATTTTCAATCTAAAGAATTTTATTTTACATTTGCATTACGTAGTTGATTAGTTATAAAAAGTGTTACTCATGCGCTCTTGTAATTCTCACATTATCAATGGAGGTATACTATATTTGGAAATAGATTTTTGTAGAAATGTCACATGAAATTATACCTTAGTTTCAATTTGTCACTTTAAAGAAAAATTTAAGAGAAATGTCACCTTAATTTTTCAAAATCCATGATTTGTCATCTGACTTTAACACCATCTAATTTTTCATACATTTTAAAGGGTATGTCAATCTTTCCATTTTCAAGAGTATTTAAAATAGAAAAATAATTATTTAAAAAATTGTATTTAAACAAAATCTCACCTTCCCCCATCCCATGTGTGGCACGGCTCCGACCAACCCCGCCCACCTTGAAATCCATTTCCCCTTCCCTCTTCACAGCCCCTTCCTCCTTCCTTCTCAACTATGGAACACCTACCCTCCACACACAAATCCGACTCCACCTTTTCTTATTGTTTTTTCTTTTTGATATTTTTCCATTTGTATATTGAAAATTTGTTGATGGAGAGAGAGAGAGAGAGAGAGAAGTGGGGGGAGGGGGATCTTGTGCGATGTGTTTTGTGGGTAGGTGAGGTTGGGATGGGGGAGAAAGGTCTCTTTTTTCTTGAAAATAGTAAAACAAATAACACAAATCATATATTTGATTTTATGAAAAGTTGGGAAGAAAAAAAATAACAAATTTAGATATATGCGCATCATCCCAAAATTATTTGGTTTTTTCCCCCACTTCATTTATTACAAAAAGAAGAAATTTGTAGGATGTATTGAATGGAAACTATCCATGTAATTTGTCGATGTACTTTACTGTTTGACAATTTTAAACTTATGAATAATTCCATTAAGGACAATAAGACAATGAATCAAGTGTAAATAATCGGCAGAAAGCTAATGGGGGCAAAGCCAAGGAGAAGGAAGCTTCCTAATTGTACAATGTTAGAGGAAGGTTCATTAAGATGCATCCTAAAACACTGGTTTTGCTGATACAACGTTGGAGGAAGGAACTTCTTATACAATAATAATCTATATATCTCTCTCTTCACGTGACAAATTCTTCTAGCACCTCATACCCAATATCTTCATCTCTCTTAGCCTGCCAAGGCAGATGAGTTTTGTAGTTAGTTGTTTTCTTACCAGGTTTGCTGAACCTTTTTCTTTCGATCGAGGAAAGAACAGTTATCCCATAATTTATTAATTACGCACGTAAATGCGTACATCCAGCATATGAAAAAACCTTTTCAAGTTGTGGAATGAAGATCATCCCATTGGGCCTTGGGGACTGCGTTAAGCGAACCTATAATGTAGGAAATGCTTTGTTTATGAATCCTGGAGATAGTTGGAAGATTTTGCCTCTTTGTCTAGATAATTTGGCTGTGATTTGAGTAAATGGTTCTAATGTTAAGGGAGTTTGTTACTCTAACCGAAGTTAAATACTTTTTAAGTCACTACTTCATTGGCCCACTAAAGCGACTAAGCAAATCAAATGAGGACGTTGACAGTGAGAAAAACTTATGTGAAACGGGAATATCACTGTTTTGTGAGTCCAAAGATAAAACTTTTGTGAGGTTAGCCGGGCATCAAACAAACTAGATGATGAGGCGACGTGACCAAAGATTTATAGGAACGCAAAACACATACGATGACTAAACAAAATTCTTTTCTTTCTAGAACCAAAAAAATCTAACATTTTGGAATGAGAAGAGCATATCCTCGTGCAGAGAAAACAGAAAACGCATGCACACAAAATTCCCTTGTACAATGCCACATACGCGGCAAGTGGTGTTTCAAGAATCACAAAGGCTTTATCCACCACTATACAAATCCAAATTCTCTCTCTCTCTTGAAAACCCGTGTAAAAATATAGCAAACAACAAAAACCAAAACAGAAAAATCCGAGATTAAATTTTTGAGAACTTGGGAATCTAATGGACCACAAAAATAGTTGACACTATTCATTGAGATATTTAGTTATATATCCATTCTTAATACTAATAATATAGATAAATCTTACATTATTTAATTTATATAAATCAATCCAAAAAAAAATAGTTGTCCTTGTTGAATTTCATTTTAATTATTAAATTACTTTAATGCCCTATTGAGTGTTTGAGATTTTCCATAATGGAAAGGAGCATTTGCCTATTTATATAACGGATCATGTAATTTAAAAGAAGTTAAAAACCTTTTGTTATGTTATAAACAAACCTTAAGTGTATTTCTAAAGTCCATTTCATATAGAATTTTTTTATAATTTGAGTTCCTATATTAAATATAATAATGAATAACTTATTCATTTCTACGAGAACCAACAAGACTAAAGGGTCTGCGTCATCCAAAAGCCAAATCGCAATTCTTATCTATCCATTTGCTTTGTTCCCTTTGCTTCTTCTCTTTCAAATTCACAAATTACACGCTTACAAAATGTACCAACAAGCCGATCAGTCCAAACCCAAGGCTGCATCAATGGGGCCTAAAATCATAAGTGGCCCAAAAGATCCCAAAACGACTTGGCAGGAAAAATTCGGATAAATAGGTAAACTTTGACCATTCCCATTTATTGACTCTTTCTTTTACATTTGATACTTATGTACTTTTTAATCATCATATAGATAATCGCCCTTAATCATTTACAATAATAAATTGAATACGGAATAAATAAATACTTTTAATCACTTACGACATGAGCACAATAATATAAGAGGCATTAAAAAAATTGAAAGAAAATAAGATAAACAATTGGAGAATAAAACCTACTTTATTTAAGGATAACAGCTCAGTTTATCACAAAATACGAGTCTCAGATCAGAAACAGCAGAGCAAATTAGACATCCCAAAAAAAAAAAGGAAGACGACCATAGAGATAATAATAAGGTCCATAAACCAAACCCTAATCAGACCCCAGCCTACTAAAAACCGAAATTCGAAAAAGTAAAGACAGACCGACTCATAATAACAGAGAGATAAACGACGACGTTTCCATCGTCGCCAGAGCACCGACTAAACGGAGTCGTCTAGGAGAGCTGGCCGCAGTCAGCAACCACCACTGGCCTGGAGGTCCTGCCGGAGCTCGACCCAACCTTCTCGATGTTCTTCACAACATCAAGCCCCTCGGTCACTTGACCGAACACGACGTGCTTGCCGTCGAGCCACTCGGTCTTCGCCGTGCAGACGAAGAACTGAGATCCGTTGGTCCCGGGACCAGCGTTGGCCATGGACAGAATTCCAGGTCCGGTGTGCTTCTTGACGAAGTTCTCGTCGGCGAACTTGGCGCCGTAGATCGACTCCCCTCCGGTGCCGTTTCCGGCTGTGAAGTCACCTCCCTGGCACATGAACCCCGGGATCACTCGGTGGAAGGAGGAGCCCTTGTAGTGGAGGGGCTTGCCGCTGCGGCCAACGCCCTTCTCTCCGGTGCAGAGAGCCCTGAAGTTCTCAGCGGTGCGGGGGGTGGTGTCGGCGAAGAGCTCCATGACGATGCGGCCGGCAGGCTGGCCTCCGATCGTCATGTCGAAAAAGACCTTAGGGTTTGAAGCCATTGATGAGAATCTCGAGGGTTTGTTTGGATCGTTCACGAAGAGATTTGGGGAAAACGAGAGTGATGATGCTTAGGGTTTGCGATGCTTGGACGAGGTCACGAGGACGAGGAGTTTATAAAAGGGCCTCTGAGGTGAATATCTATGGCAAGTTGTTTTCAGCCGTTCGATGAAGGCACGTGGCTTGAATCTGACGGGGTATGAGTTAACCGTGGTTGGGTCGGGTTTTAACCAGGGTTGGGTTTTGGGATCCGAGGCTGAGTGAAGTGGTTGTGTACTGGTATATGCTTGTCATTATTCGGATAGGGTACTATTAGGGTTCGTGGACTTTTTGGTGGAAATAAACGACACCGTTTGGACCACGTTGTGGATTTGGTAAACACTTGGATGGCACACATGGTATTAAAAAAAATAAAAGGTGAAACACGGACAATTTTACTGATTTTTACTTACCCTCTGACGCAGATCCAACGGTCTAGATTTCGCAAGGATACAGATGCCGACATACACATAAAGCCAAAAAGATCTGAAATTATGGATCATGAGGACTAATTTTTATATTATTTATTTTTCCGAAAAGAAAAATAAATTAATAAATATATATGTATCCATGGATCATGGATGGATGCCCGGTCCATAGATCCATGAATTGGACCCGTTCACTTGGTCCAACTTGGGAAATGTGGATTGAAGGACGAATGACAACCATTGGATTAATTAATTTAATTTGCTCTTTATTCCATGCGGAAAATAATATAAAATTTTCTTAATTATGAAATAAAAATCAACAAATCAATGAAATCATATATTCTTGGAGGATCATTATTCTCTAAAAGAGGAAGCACACTTTCTTTAGTAAAGTGGCGGGGGTTCACCTTCTGATTATCTTCCAACTAACAGATCATCATTCATAAGCAAAACAATGGGTATATGCGTTATGGAGCTTAGAACTTGTGATCATATGCCATTTTTTTGTAGGGACTGGAAAAATTCTTTTCGTTGGTGCCATCAATTTTTTCTTCTTCTTTGGGTCGAGAATTGGGATGCGACAACATGGAGAGAAAGTACACTTATGAAATCCTACGACAGTTGCTTACGAACGTGCGGGTGACCACACCCCGCTAATGCACATGCATCAACAACCGAGAGTCACCCACGAGAGCGACTGCCCTAAAAACTAAAGTAATTTATTAAATTCGAATTGGATCTGAAAATTACATGCATTTCACAATGAAGAAATCATAGGTCCCACTAATGCATAAAAGCAATGACAGATACCTAATACCTATAGGGGACCTTTTGTTTGGGAAAGTGAAGGAAAGGAAATTCTCACGCGACAATCATGAATGGCCACGGATTTTAGAAATCTTCTCCATCATAGAGCCACAACCTTTCTCAAAAGAAAATATATACAAAAGGAATGGCTGAAAGAAATGGCACAATTTTATAAGCCTGCGGAATATTTCTAAAGCCATTGATGTAAGCAATACACACTAGTTTTTACATTTTTCTTCCAAAGCCTACAGTGATCAGTTTTCACCTATATGCACAAGAATTTATCTCACAAAAACTCTTCGGCCTGTAACAATCCGGGATAGATAACCGAAATTATTTGTTTCAAGGACTTCACAGATGATTTGAGGAAAGCATGTCTCTCCATCGCTACAAAATACATTACAAGGAAAAAACCATTCGTTAAATGTTGAAGAACTACCATTAAAAAAAAGTGACAAAACATGTATGCAAAATGAATGGAGTTTACCTTTCATTAAAAGTTTAACTTCCTTTGAAAAATCCTCCACACGCCCTAACACAGGTCTTATGCTGCATATTTGTAGAACACAAAGTTCCAAGTGCAAGGCCATCTCCATTATTTGTAGCAATAAGCAACAGATACTCTGTACTTCAATTTGAATATCATTTGATCTTTTATCCCCACACAGCTCTGTAACAATGGTAATTGCTTGATCCTACATCAGAAATAACATATCCAACTCAAAAAAACGGAAGTCACCTCAAAACTTAATTTTAAGTATTTGGAAGACCATATATTTTTTGCATAATTAAACAAATCAAAGCCACACCTTGAGACATCTCAAGATCTTAAAAGATTAGCAAAATAAAAACTAATTAAATAATAAAAATTGTCATCTTACTTGTAAGCCATGCAAGATTTCAGGCATTGGAAGCTCAGGAAAATGGTCAAGATCAACAAACCCCACCTCCTCTGCCCTTCTAGCAGCACCCTCAGCTTGTAAACAGAGGAACTTCAAAAGAAGAAAAGTAATTCTGTATATCTGAAGGGCAATAGTGTCGGAGAAGTATGACTGAGATACGTGATCACTATTTTCAGTTGACTGAGTTTTAATAGCCAGCGCAGTTGTGGTAGAGACGGCTGAGAATTTTGGTTTTGACACACAACTGAGCGGTGAAAGACCAAACCATCCGCTTTTACTGTTAACAAATGAGGGTTTCTTGCAGCCATCGAATTCCTCTTTAAGGATAGGAGGGCATACGAGAGGAGCATTAAGACTCGAAGATTCTCCAAGGCGTTGAGTTCCCCGGCTGACAAAGGCCAAAAGATGGATACTTTTCTCTCTCAGCTGGGAGTCCATTTCTTTCATGGCCTTAACCCATGAATTCCAATGTTTTGCTAGCACGCACATCAGCATGAGAGTGTGCTCGGTTTCTTTAAGATCAGTAAGAGAAGTTTGTCTCTGCTGAGCCCGAGGTCTTTTCTTGTCATGACCATCAGATGGGAAGTCTGGAGCACTGAGATAGTATGAAATCATATAGGCTTTCTCTGAAAAGAAGTAGGGTATTACATTCTCCACAACATCAGAACAAGCAGAACTGTCTCCTAAAGACTGAACCATAGCTGTGATGACTGCCAAACCAAGTCCCCAAATTTGCTGAGGCTTCTCAGTTTTTTCAGTTGAGTTGGGATTTCTCTTATTAGTACTAATGGAAGAAGACCTGCCTTCCAAGCACTCAGTGAACAAGAGTCTCAGAGACGAAAGAAACCCATTATTAATAAGCATTTCTGCACCCTGCCTCACATGGGCAACAGTCAAAAAGAACTTCATTATAATGGGCACAGAGTCAAGTGAGTTCTTATCTTGAAGCTTCAGAATAAGATGCTGAAGCTGGAGGTGATTTTGTATAATGGGGAACCAAGTGTTGGGAGTTAAGAAATTTCTCAGTATCAAGTCCATAGTAGTTAGGGAGAGGGTGCCATTCTCAACAATAGCCATACAGTTACAGAGAATTGGTAGTAGACCAAGACTCACGTTAGATATTTTAGCCAGGTCTTCAACACATATTATATCTCTTGCCCCAACCAAATGTGACTTATGACAACTAAACTCCACTGCCGAGAGAAGCAACATAAGCAAGAGCTTTACGGTAGTGTTAACCCCCATAACTGCTGGCCCGGTAACTAATGCTCTGAAATCACTCAACACTTTAAGGCCAGAACCTGATGTTTTTAGTACAAGAATGCAAACAGACAAAGGCAGGCTTTTATGTGAATACATCATAAGATAGAGAAGCAACTCTGCTTGAGCTGAAAGGAAGTGAAAGATATCTTCAGGAGCACCAGGTAATGAAGCTAATGATTCTACTGTGTCATGGAAGCTCTGGCATATGTGATTGATGCATGAGAAAACAAGTTGATCAGAGATCTCTTTCGCTGTACTTTTCGTCTCCAGTGACTGCAGTAGCAGGTACATGTGAATTAATTTAAAAAAAGAATAAGGCATTTTCTAAAGCAAGAAAAAAACAAACAAACCATGATAAATAAAGCCATACAACAGCCCACAAACCGCACTAATCAGCATTTAGATGCCCACTGCTGAAAGCAGGATGCTTAGATCATGTGATTTCTTCCAACACAATATTGGGGCCTTCACTATATGTTAAAACCTCAACAACTCAGTTTTTCGTATTGTATTCTTGATTAGATGGAATGCAATGACTTCGTCACTCTCATTAGAAAATGGATAGAAGTTACCGGAGTATTTCAAAATAAAATCAGTATTCCTCAGGTACAATTAAATGCTTTTACCATTCATACCCAGTTTTAATGATAGGAAACTTGATATATCATGTGGGTTGAACCTCTAGCTCTAGGTCCTAGTGTTTTTACTTCTTCGGCACCCTAATTAGACATGGCATAGGTGCAGCACAGTGTTCATCAACTGAGCTATCACTAATACTGCTTAACTTTCAAAAACTTTGAAACGAGAAATCAGATATTGAAATATTAGACATCAATTTTTTTTTAAAAAAAAACTAACAATAGATTTAAAGTATTTGAAACCATTATATACATCTACACGATCCTTAAAATATCTTGAACCATAAAAAGCAGCTACAGATATCGAATTTCTAACTATGAGAACGCAACTGAAAGCAATTACAAAGTCTAAGAGAGGACTCACATCATCCGTGAACACAGTCAAGATACTTCTTAATGCTCTTAGTGCAGAAAGCTTCGAACTTGTAAGCAACGCCATTGAGTTTGCAGCCTTCATGTGATTCAACATTGTTTCTGCAGTTGCCTTTGATGCCTTCCACTGTGAATAATCCCAAAGATCTAACCCCAAATCAGCTCGTACATGTTTGAGATCAAACAAGTATGCATCTTTTCCGGTTACAAAAAGATCAGCATCATATTTATGTTGGTAAATCTGAAAAACATTTGATTCTATAAGGAACCGAGAGAGTTCTTTGAATGGTCCAGCACTGACTTCACGGCCTTCAAGCTCTCCTTGTAGATGATAATAAAGATCACTGAGAATCAAATAGTTTGGCTCCTTCCCTGCACTGGAAAAAGATAATAAATTCTTCATATGCAGCTGAATGCACAACATGTGTCATTTATTGCTTCCATTTCCCAATGTGGGATAATACTCTCAACAAATTCTTATGAGAGATAACATATGTAATTAAAAGATCAATACGTGAAACAGAATATACAACAGATCAAATTATCTGTTGAACCCTATGCAAATTGAATCCACCCAAACTTATGGTTACATGTCACGACTTAGATGGTCTGTCAAAGGCTAGAAAACAGATCAACTTCAAGGTCAATGGAAATAAGGCAAGCAACAGCACGTCATGGGGGATGCCCATCATATAAGGTGATAACAATATGAAGAATCACAGTTAAAACTTACATGCACGTGGACGGAGGTGACCACACACACACAAAAAGAGCCAAACATGGCTCTTGAAACCAGAAAATGGACTGGTAATCAGTAGTCAACCAACAACAGGGAATACGAACACAGGCAAGAGACAAAAGAGTACTGCTTGACCAAAGCATCAGAAACCTCTTCCAAGGTTCTGTATTTAAATCCTTCTTTTATACTCTGGTGACTTCCAGGACTTGAAACTAAAGTTTCACATATCAATCATATCACAGGAAGAACTGTTTTCTCACTATAAGAATACATTTACTGGAAGGAGCACTCGTAAAAATCCAGAATCTTCAGGGGAGGGTATAATATCAGTTTCCAGACATACAAATGCTTCGCACAAGAAGTGCACGGTTAAACATAGAAATTCCAACAGAAATTAACAATAACACACATATTACCTGTAACCATGCTGTGAGTATTGAGCTAACAATTCAGAAAAAGCAGGATGACTTCTGAACTGCCAATGAAGGGAAAAAAAAAAGATAACAATCAGATATGATGCAAACTTTACAATCTCAATATTATAAGGAAAGTATTAAATTAGAAATTAAACTGAGCTCTTAATGGGTTTATCAGCATACAATCATATTTAATTACGAATTAAGTAATACAATCAAGAAAGGATCAAACCTTATTTGACAGGATGCTGGACTTCTCAAGTAATGACACAGACACACTTCCTGCATCACCATTTGCTAAGTTCACCATCACATGGGCAGTGATTACACTTGCAGCAACCTGTGAAGTTACAGCTACGATTATTGCATTCTAAAAATTAAGAAAACTATTGGCAACACATGGGCAGTGATTACACTTGCAGCAACCTGTGAAGTTACAGCTACAATTATTGCATTCGAAAAATTAAGAAAACTATTGGGAAAGGTCGACAGTACACATCCTATCAAGGAACCGCTTTATTAATAGTTTGATACTAATGTATGTCATAAAGCACAGATTGAACAGAGTAATGTATAGGTGAGAAACGTTCTTATACAGAGGATGATTGTTTCTTTGAACGGTGAACTTAAGCAGAAACTAAATGAGATGAAACCAACCAAATTGAACAGTGAACTTACATAACATTAAACAACCAACAAAAATCAGAGAATGAGTGAAGATGAGATGATATGTGATGACTAACCAACCAAATTGAAGAAAAAACCAGGGACCGAAACAACAGACATAATTCACACATAAGAGGAAGTAAAAATTTCCAGAATAGAAGTCACCTTTGCCTGTAAATACAACTTGAGGTTATATTCACAATAAGAAAGTGACTTGGTAAGATTATCCAAAACAGAGCTCCTGCACCAGGCTGATAAAATATCCACCAGATCTGAAGATTTTGATTTTTCTAATCTTACTGTATTTTGTATCCTGTCTTGTGATTCAGGCACTTGTTTTGCAAGTGTCTCCAAATGTAATAGCTTTTTGTGCAGAAACATGTCATGTGCCATTATTTCCAATATCGCAGATTGACACTGATATCTGAAAGCCAAATCTTGAGCTTCTGTCTCAGTTATATTTTCAGGTGAAGGAGCTTCTACACTAGAAATTACTGAAATAAAACTGGACAATTTTTTCCAGAAATTTGCGGAGCTTTTCAGGCATTCCAAAATATTAGTGTACTGAGCAGCACCTTGCCACAGTGCCCTTAGAAAGTTAAGAACATTCAGCAGTATTCGGGGATTGCTGCAGATTTAAAAAAAAGGAACTAAGAAAATGAGAGAAAAAGGCATAAATTTGAAGACTGCAGGATAATGATGAAAGAACTAACTAAGAAACCAAATTAAGGATCCATTGAGCACAAAATACCTGTTGATAAGATCATTAGATCTTTCAATTTGATACAGAACTGCATCCACAATACTTGTTTTTTCCGACTCAGATGACCTGAAGGTAACATCATTTGTTGGCAGCTTCACATGACCAGCATTACTCTGTTGAACATCCCTTTTCACTTCGGTGGATAATACAGCAACAAGAAAAGCAGGCTGTACATGAATAAACAATCAGTCAGAAAAAGCTAAACCAAATCATTTTCAAAAAGGCCATAAACAGGTCACTGACGACCTAAGATCTAGTAAAACATACAACTTTGGCTTGAATGCCAGTGCTTTGTTCCTGTTTTCATTAAGGAGTAGCTTAGGCTCAGCTGCCTTGACTGCATCAAAAAGTATATTTGTACTAGATGCCCAAACTGCTAATTTTTAAGAAGATACTTCGACTCATCAGAATCAACAATACATTACTGTGAAGGTGTCCACCACAAACAACATAAGAAACTACAGTACCACTGATCCAGACAAATCTAACTGCTCAGTTATTAACAACTACCCTTCTATCTAGAAGAATATCAGACAGAGAAATACCCCTGAACTCAGATGACACAGATGCCTACATAGAAGACCAAAACCTAACCCTTTGCTTAACAATGAATAACAGGTCTGTGGAAGCACCCAGCTAAACTTGGCTTTTTCAACAGCTAATAACACTACTAGTTCTACTACTTTGAAGTCAAACGCTTTAATAAGTGGAGGAAAATGTTATCTGTATAGATCACAAAACTCCAATGAAAGGCTAGCAATATAACCACACAAAGTTTGCATTGAGGATGAAAGGCACTAAAATTGCCACCATATGTACACACACACACACACACATACAATGTTTTCTTTTTTTTAAAAGAGAGATTTTTAAGGATTAAATGACAAAAGTACAAGTATAATGAACAAGACATTCACTTCAAAGAAACAGAACAAAAATACGTGGACAATCTAGTGCTAAAAAGACCCAACAGAAAACACAGCAAATACATTGTGCTCGCCAATCTAACCAAATATCTGTGAAATATAAGCACCTAATTACAGAATTTAAAAGTGTTTTTTTCCAAGAAAATAAAAAAGGAGCAAAATTTGGAGCCGTTAATCAAACAATTGTCAAGATGGTTTAAATTAAAATTGGAAGAAATGGACCATTAGCATTCTTTCTTTTCTTTTTCTTTTTTGGACCTGAACACCACTAGCATTCAAACATTACTTCCTAACTTTGTGAGTGAAACTCAAACAATAAAATACAGAACTTGATACCATACAATAACAAACCTGATAACAAGCAGCAGAAGTGAGGAGATTGACTACAGCAACAAAGAGATCTTCATTCCATTCCGACTGCTCAAGTAGTATGTAACTAACACACTGCCTCAGATCTCCAATCTACAACAGTGTAGCAGCAACAACCAGATTTAGAAGCAGTTGATTTATTCAACTGGAATTACAAGAAATTAACACGGAACTAAAAAAATAAATGTAAACACACCAAACCTGCTTATCATCCAGACCAAAGCTGCTACCAAACAAATATGGTCGCATTAAATCTGCCATCATCAAGAACGCTGATAAAACCCTAGCAGCACCAACTTGTATTCCCTGCACAGAAAACTCAAGAACGTTAATAAAGATACTCAACAATTATGGAAATATTATTGGACATACTGTCAACAAAACCAAGACAAAAAAAATACCACTTAGAATTATTTGGTAGTGACAAAGGATTAACATTCCCGACTTATATAGTGTCTATACAATTCTGTGTAATTAAATGTATATAAGATGTGCACAATGCCATATTCTACCCCGTAGGGCATGCTAGTTCGACGGTTAAACGAAATAACATTACGCCTATCATGCCCAAAGCTTAGAGTAAGGCTTAAAAACCATTGAATGCAACTATAAGTTTCTTATGAATCAAAGTGTTGTAATAAGTATAAAAAAAGAAACAAATTGGCAAATAAAAAAGACTACTCATTCTGTCTAGTAATTCCTTATGGCATTAGGGACCTTCTTTCAGGTCAATTTCATGTTTTTTGGCACTCGGGACATTTCTTTCTGGCATTCGTCAAGTCATTTTCATCGTGGTACTACTAGTCACTAATTCACCAAAAAACAATAATTATATAGACAATTGAGGCAAGCAATGAGGAACTATCCCAATAATACTTGGCTTAATTATGTACATGCCCCCTGTGCTTTCCAACTTATCTCAGATTACCACCTATGGTGGAAAACGTCTCAAAGTACCCCCCAACGTGCAAAAAACTGTCTCACACCAGCACGTTGTCCTCTACCACCCTCACATCTCAGCCGCTGCCAACCGTCGTCTGGATCACCGAAAAAAGCAAGAAATTGGCCGGTTTTTACCCAAAATCTCCATTGCTCGTTCGGGCGATTCCGAGCACCATTTTCTTCGATCCATGTATGATTTTTCAACCTCTCGAGTTGTTCTTGCTGCTAGTTGTGTTGGTTAGGAGAAATTTCTGAGTTTTGGAGGGTAAATAAGCGATGAACAGTAACAAAGGGGAGGGGCTACTGTTCTGGAATTTTGGGGGAGATGAACAGTAACATTCGTAACGGAACTTCAAAAAAACTGACGGAAAGGGTAACGTGAGACAGTTTTTTGCACGTTGGGGGGTACTTTGAGACGTTTTCCACCACAGGTGGTAATCTGAGATAAGTTGGAAAGCACAGGGGGCATGTACATAATTAAGCCATAATACTTTGATGATATACATGTAGATACACAATAACCAAAAAGGGAGAACCCTGTAATTGTACTGTTTACAAATGTAAAGCAAAGAATAGAGTCAATAACAATTGAGAATGGAGAAAGGCCATACAGGATTGCGAAAGTAAGATATCAAGGAGACAAGCGCTGCAACTACAGGAATTGGTTTTGTTGCAGATGAGAAGACTGCTTGGTGAAAAAATGGAGGGCTGGAAGATATATCCTGGAAATACACAAAGCTGAACATCAACTTTTGTATTAAATAAAAATACAATGCTTAAAACCAACCACCATATTACAAATAAAGGAAAATATCCATCACGGATATGTATAGTTGGTCTCTACACAGACACTCCAGAAAACTTACTTTTAAACAGAAGCAGATCACTACATTTAGCATTATACAAAAAATTGTAACATATACCATGCCAATCAAAATGCCAATTCCACATGCTTACTTCCAAGCATACCTTAGAAAATTTGGAGAGGATTATGAAAAGAATATCTAAAACTGAACATATAGCCATCTCAAAACCTTCAACCTCTGTCGGATGCCAGCTGATATAAAGTCTCTGCAGAAAAATGTCCCCAAATTAGAACAAAATCACAACAGATTGTGACTAAACAAGATCATAGGATACACAGCATAGCCCACCTCTAATGCTTCTGTAGTTGTACAAACAATCCGAAAGAGAGTACTATGGATGGAAGAATCAGACAGTAACCTATCCAAGATGACTTCATCCAACTTTTCAGAGCATGATATTGATGTAATACATTTTTTCATCACTTCAAGCACCTGACACAGTAAAGGATATTAAAATTCACCTTCCCAGTATAATCTACATTTACAATACCAGTTGGGCCAAGTATATAATAAATTAGACAACCAATTAATAGAGAAGATTAACTAGCCACAAGAAGCCAAACATGCACACATTGTGATTCCCTACCAAGCATTGATGCAGACAAAATTTTGGATATGAATTCTTTACAAGCTTGCCCATTTGGGCTCATTTGTTGTATCATCCTAGAAATAGTCTTGAAAATGATGCTTTCAAAATGACGAGAAACTAGAATAACACTATTAAAATGACGTGAAACTAGTACTACAGTTACAGCAAACAAGTAATCCACTGAAGGTACAAAAATTCTACATCAGCCTGCTATCTACTCAACAGTTCTGGAAGATTCAATTGGCCAAGACCTTTTATCAGAATGGACACAAGGAGATATTCCCTACCGCAGATACTAAAGAACGAAGCTTACCCATTTGAAAATCATTCAAATTTCTCCAGAAATGGAAATCCAGCTCATTGGAATATAGGAGGCCGAAGATTGGCAATTTGCACATCAAGTAATAGACACAGATATAAAAAGCACAAAGGAAGAACCCCAACCTAATTATCTCCCTATGAACTAATTTTCTCCCTTTCCCACAAATAACTGAAGATTTTGAAGAAAATACCTAATTCTCAATGAAATGTCATTCCAAGGACTTCGATTGGAACCTCCAGCCACCACATTAAAGCCTCACACATTGGCATCAATGCCAAATATAACTTGAATGACAACAGGCCAAAGAGATTCTCTTTCCAAAGGAAAGCTCCACAACAACTTCCCTAACAAAGCCAAGTTCCTATTTAACGGTGCTCTCATTCATAATTTTTAGAAAGATATTTAAAAACTCCTGACTCATATCCAGACTTGTCATCCCAATAGGACACAGCACATAAGACAGCAACTGCATGCAGAGCAAAAGGACTTGATCTCATATGGTAGTATAATAATCGCTAAGAAAATATAATTTGCCAAGAAAATATAAAGTTACTCTCCTGTATGTACCTTGTATGGAACTATCAACTTTTCTCTGTTTCTGATGGTTTATAGGGCAATCCTATTAATTAGGACCAGCTCAGAATTTAAGCTAGTTATACAAAATACAAAAAGCTTACCCCCCAACAGGAATCAAGTTTGTTGTAAACTTAAAGTAAAACAAAAATAGAACCAACTTTTGTCACAATAGCAGCATAAGAGAAACCAAAGGATGTACCTTCAATGTTACTCTCCAACGAGTATGTTTCACCTTGTATTTCCAGTATTCATGGTTAACAAGAACATACTGAATACAGAAAACAATTAAAGCCAAGACAGCATCATTTTTCAGTCCTGTGTCCATGAGATGTACAGTGAAGTCCAGCACTGCAAGGTTTTAAAACCATCCATGTCATGGAATAGATCACAGAAATTTTGAAATCTTGAAACACAACTAGGCAGAAAACTAAGATAAATAAATAAATAAATGAAAAACAACGAAACATCAGTGTTTCCTTTGTTATTGTGTATATAGACATAATTTAGTACAAAGTAAATAAAGCCCGACAAATTAGATGATGTTAGACCAGCAAAAGCACATTAACAAATTGTAAGATTTTAAAAAAAAATTACAAAGAGAACGTAAGAAAGCAAAAAGAATCATACAACAAAATATACCTGATATAGTCAATGAGCAGTCACCATCATTCTGCTCACAGTCAATTAATAGCATCTTTGCCATTTTTCCAGAAAGCAACCATGATCCACTAGAAAAAAGAAAAAAAAAAAAAAAAAAAAAAAAAAAAAAAAAAAAAAAAAAAAAAAAAAAAAAAAAAAAAAAAAAAAAAAAAAAAAAAAAAAAAAAAAAAAAAAAAAAAAAAAAAAAGAAGCCAAAAAGTAATATCAAGGATTAGAACAAAAACTTCCCCAGTCTCACATGAGGCATCAACATTGCCAGCACAAACAAGAAAGCCAAGATAAATGTCAGATTATTATTTATAACCAACTTCCATTGTGCCCCCCACCAAAAAAAAGACAGTAAAAGGCTTGCCTCATGTGCAGCACAATACAAGAAAGGACTTCATTGGAGCATCGCGGTATGTAGAACTTCATTTCTGTCTAGAAATGTAGCATTGAGGCATGTTGATGAACATGTTTTATTTCTACCCTCATCAATTTCAACACAAGGCCTTTCTGGGGTCAGTAAAAATTTCTTTTCTTTTTTAAAACGAAAAAAAGGGAAATGAAATGTTGTTGTGGGGGGTTGAACCCACAACCTCCCACATACTCATAATGCACTCTTCCACCCAACCAATGCTTCACTTTATCAGTAACAAATTCATTTTAACATTAGTTAAGGGAAATTGCAAAACCAAAGAAAGAGGAGAACAAAAGCCATAAAGAGAAATTAATCTTCTACAAGACAACTGTGTAACAAGTAGAGCACCCCCAGGAAGAAATATGTATGTTATGAACAAGAATAACAGGAAATTAATGTGGCGAACAATATACAGTGGGGAAAAAAAGGTCTTATAAAGAAAGGATCCAGACATAAGCTCGAGAAAGAAAAACAAAAAAACAAAAAAGAGGAAGTGAAATACAGCTCCACTTCAGATATACTTCAATTAACTTCAGGTAAGAATATAAACCGCACATTTATATGTATGCACAATAACAGCAGAACGAAAAAAATAAGTCTTTTCTCAAAGGATTCACCTTGATGAATCATCGTGACCATTGCTGAAATCAAATATATTTGCCTTTAAAGCCACCTCAGCAACATGAGAAGGGTAACTGCCACAATAAATGCACGTTAAACACAGAGGTTTTGCTCAGGTCTGGCATATGCCGAAATCAATTTAAAGCAAAAATTATAGGCTAATATAACACTCTGAAGTTCAAGATACATCACACTCAGGACTGCACTATATCATGTACAACTACGACTGCTGTCATTGTGAGGGAAGTCATTCTCATTGACGCCATATTTTTTAATGCGGAAACAGAACTATATTGATATAAAGGCAAACTACAAACACAGCAGACAAGTATCTGCCAAAGCAAAACAAACCTACAACAATGTGCCACCAAACATCAGATCGTAATAACAATTCCACAAAAAAGCGAACGAAACTCAGACCGAATCCCTGGCTAAGAACAGCTTTCCAATTGACATCATCTTAATAATAAGAATATTAGACCACCCACAATTGAAAAGACAAAGATATGTACGCAAGACATAGAGAACTCAAGAGGATAAAGGATGAAGTTACCATTTTAACATTTTTGCTAAAATATTTATACCCAATGACATCAGAGCGGCACCATCAGAAGTAGGAGATGATTTTCTGATTAAAGAGCAAATGATCTCAACCAACCTGAATGAATAACAAAAGTGCAAATTACAAGACATACTAAGACAGGTGAGAAAGAGGAAACAAAACACATAAGCACAAACAAAAGGTTGCTATATACCACATATTACTTCCTATCTGCCAACTCATGCCAGTTGATTGGAAATGTAATGAGCTCCCAATGTCCATCAAAGCAAAACATACAGCCTAAACATAAAACACCAGTACGAAAAGGTTGGTAAAAAAAAGATAGTTACAGAAATGGTAAGAAATCATGAATTGCACCCACAAGCATTTAAAAGCTTAATCGAGATTATTCAAAATAAAGCATGAAGGCCTGGCCACCAAGTTTCTTAGCAACAACCCAACGACTACAATAAATTGTAAAATACACTAATTGATGTAGCCAATACTTTTCCAAATCCATAAAGACTCTAGCAATGAATGATGAAAAAAATATACCGTGTTAAAGGTAACCATCCGGCTAATCAGATCAAGGATAAGAAGAACTTCGTCATTTCTCTCAAAATACAGCTCCTCAGCCAGGCGCATGAGCAATACTAGCACCTCAGATTGTGTATACTGTACAAAAGAAGCATGAATTAGCACAAAACAGCAACCAATAAAAAATTCAATTGAATATTAAATTGGATATCTTATATTACTCTCCTCGAATATATTGTTCACAATGCACTAAATAAAACTAGACATGTCACTTGAATTATAGCAGAAAAAATCATGGCTTTGTTAATAATGTAGAGCATAAAGGAAGATGGTATCAAAAAGGAAAGTAAGACAAGGTAATATTAAATAATACGTGTTTTTGCACTGCCTCATAAGTAGCACGTATAATTGAGATATTAAAAAATTTCGACAAAGAAAAACCTTTGAGGAGAGGTAATAATTTGTCACATGGTAATCCCTAAAAATGCGTATTCAAATTTCAAAATACACGAGAAAGATAGAGTATTCACAAACAGCACACACAGACAAATGCAGTAACATTGGAACATGCTTTTTAAAGTATCACCGAATACCCGTGCCCTTATAAGCAGTTGAAACTCTAGTGATCTTTGTCAGGAATATATAAAAGTCATCAATACAAACCAATTACCAATATAGTTAAAAGTAATTCGCTTACCTCCCATTGGACAAGAGCAGCATTTCCACCAACTGATCTTAAAACATGTCCACAAGTTCTACTGGGAATGACTAAACCTTCAAATCCAGGAACATGCAACGGGAGGTGCGTCTCAACAATTGTAGAGATGTCATCCACAGAGGAACTATTATTAATCTCAACCAAGGATGATATCTTAACAGACTTATCTAGAAAGTTAAACCTGTTGAAAGGATGAACACACGACAAATGAGAGAACATAATAATTGAATAAGCAGCATGTTTTGCATGGGAACCAATTAAAAGATAATATAACTTATTTTGAGCACTCCCTTGGGCAGAGGGAATATAGAAAAGATAATGAATCAATATCATCTTACAAAAAGAAGCTTGAGAAACACCAGAAAATATACAAAAATTACAACCAATAGCTACGCTAACTATATACATATATATAGGAAAAAATTCACACACGTTTACAACTAGATATAAACATGTTTAACAAATTAGACGGAGTTGATCATATCTTTTCACACACATTTACTTAGAACAAACTTTGCTTTACTTATTGAATAATGCTACTCTTACCACATTTGTATACCACATTCCCATACCACCTTATGTGGCAGGTGAGGTGGACAGCCACATATCAATTAAAATTACTTAACATTTTCTTACAAAATTGTCAATTAAACTTTCTTTATTAACATACACTTCATCGATTTAATTGATGTGGCATATGATATGGACATGCCACATCATGTGGTATGGAAATGTGGGATAAAAAGGTGGTAAGTGTAGCATTACTCTTACTTATTTACCACAAATATATACATTAGCTTTAATCACAGCACCAATACTGTAAGTATTTGATGCAAAGGACCAGGCGAAAATAAAAATAAAATGTTTTGGCTTACTGTATAAAAACAGTAAAAGTAGTGTAGCCCTTTTAATATAGGATTTTGAGGACAGTTATGTTGCACAAACTGAAAAGGATAACTGAGAAAAGTTTAGATAAGCTTTTATGATTAATTGTTGTTAGGCTTTCTACCCGCTTATAAATACAATTTTACAAAGACTCTTCTTATTATCAACTAATACAGCAAACAAGTCTGGCCTGAGAATTTCCATAACCAAATTAAAGTTGAACCCAACACCCATATACTGATCAGGTCTACAACTCATTCGGCTTATCAAAAACCAGAATAAGAAACAGCCTTGCCAAATAAGTATACTCACACACATTCTGCAGGCCAAGTTCCTTCACAAAGAGATGATAAAAGGTGAACTAGTTCCACAGTCCTGAAAGGAAATTCACCCTCTAAGCTGCGAAGAAGACACCGGATAGGCTCATCAATAAAACTTTCACGATCCCAAAACTGGATACAAAGTGACTCCTGCAAAATTCAGCGGAACTTCCCTTTAAAAATGAGTAACAAATACACTAATAAAATTGATAATAGCAATTTCATATTTATAATTATAACATATTTTTCTCATAGCAACAGATGCTGAAAGATAACAACAGTGTCCAAACCTCTCCCTGATAAATTTTGCAAAGAATATCCACTATTAACTTAAGAGCACTATCTTCCAGCTGCACAGTATAAGGAGCAGAAGAAATGAGAAATGCATCCAACAAATGCCAATAAGGAATTTGCAGAGATCCATTATGCATTTACCTGAGGACCAATCTCATAAGATGCAATAAATGTAGAAATAAAGGTTCTCAACACACTTCGATAACCAGCAACAGGCCCCTAAAGAAAAAGAAAGAAAAAAAGGTCACTCGTTTGAAAATGAAAATAATTTGGGGGAAAAAAGACCCAAAAATAAAAGACTTTAAATGGCCAAAGCAATGCAAATAAAAACTTGTTAAAACCTCGGGATGGACCCCAAGCCTTCTAATGGGTAAGGGGGGGAAACCAATAGGCAAATTTGAGCATATTGGGCAACACGAGAAACTACTTTCTCTAAACACATACACTTATAAACTGTGAATAACTTACGTCAGATTCCTTCAATACATCACTTTGAAGGAATTCTACAAGATAAGTCAAAGATGCAGCCTCGAAGGCTTGACGAACATAACCACCATGATCAATTTCCTGGAAAATGAGAGAAAAACTAAGCACAATAATCATTTGTATCATTCATACAGCCTGGTTGGGAGACAACATCTGCACGGAACCACCTACCATTACTACATTGTTTTCTTCTTTGCCTGGAAGTGATGAAATCAGACAAAGAAACACAGCCCATGCTAGAATTAATGGGCCTGCTTCTTTTGTTTCAAAAACATTGAAAGTTGAAATTATTGCTTCCATCTCTTGGACATCAGCCAAAGTAAAAACGGATTTGCCTTCCCTAAGGAATAGCAGAAAAAGGCAAATAAAGATGGAGGTAAGGATATATAACCATGGAAAATTTTAAGAATGGACACAAAGAACAGAACCAACAATACCATATTAACCTTAAGGAAACAATCATTGATTAGAATTATACTGATGAAGCTTAACACTTTTCATTTAAATATATAAAAGGGAAGTTACCATAGCATTAACAAGCATATTATATCCATAGTTGCAATCACGGCGTTTTAAAATTGCAAATCAAATTATCTTAAGGTCCTAAATTCGCAGACAAATAACTTGGCTAACAGCATGCATAGAGATAGCACTCAAGCTTCAAGCGAATTGGGAATCTGCAGGATTTTGGGTGTGAAAATGTTAGACCTAAACGCCCATATTATTTCAAAGATCTCTAGGCCTGCTTGTAATGAGTCTGAGTGGTTTTCATTTATATAAGAGTATTGATCGTACTGCATTCACATTAATTAAATAATAATAAATAAGAAGAAAGAAAAAAAGCAGTTAGAATGGGATTCCAACTCAGCACCTTTCCTTTTGAGATTTTGAGAAGAGTTGCTCTTTGGAGAGCACAGTACGATAATCACAGTTTCTGTTGCTTTTCATAGTTAGTAGAATTTTCTGATCCAATAGAAACCAATACTTAAGTTCAATTTTGTTATTTTAGTTTTGTCTTGTCTAATTTACAACATATGTGCTAACTAAAGGCACGCCATATCTGCCTCACAAGTGGATTCCACCTAAAGGCAGTTCGTCCCTTAGCATACACCAAAAGGCATCTTCATTGAGTAATGACATAAGAAATGCTGCACTGTATTGCGCAACAACTGTGATCTTCATGATCTGGATATTTAAATGTATAAATCATTGATATGGCCTAAGATGTTTTGCTCTTGATAGTTTATGAATTGCAGAATAAATATGTAGATGCATCCTAACTAGATAAAAACCTGAAAGGGATTTCATCGTGAACCATTTGGAGAATATTTTCCAGGTCCAAGGTTTCGATAAGGATTAGAAGCAGCTGAACTTTGGCTTGATAAGCAGAACGTAGTGCTTCAGTTGATACTGCCAGCTTTCCAAAGTTATAAGACCCAGATAGAATTCCCTGCAGGAGAAAGCTTTTGAGCTTGAACTAGGATAAGATAGTACTTTATAAACGAATTCTGCAAGAAAGCTAACAAAATACCTTGTATAGCCAGCACAATGTTTTCCACCTTTCACCATTACAAGTACAAACTGACTCATTATAAACAAGGAAAAGAATGTCCAAAACTAAATTGTCTTCAACTAGTGTCTCCTCAGCCCACAAAGTGAAAAGGTCAATATCCTAATAAAGCACCCAGACAAATTAACATTAGGGCTTTGTAACAAATACAAAATGATTCAATTCTATATTCTTCAAATAAAAGCATGCATGGAGATGCGTACACCTATGTCAATAACATCCCTTTACATGGGCATCGACATACAATCTCAAATGTAATTAAGGAAACATAAGATTGCAATTCAGCAGAATAAACAATGATAATTTCACCTATTCTGTCCTAAAGCATCATATGAATGTAATACAGGGACGGCCAAATAGATATTCCACACCCAAATACATGTTTCTTAGGCTATTGCACATCGCACAGCCGCAGGGACTTGTTATTTGTCAATAACTGGTTTAAAACTTCCTCCAGCAGTTGTTATAGCAACCACTCTCACTAGGTCACTACTACCTCAATTTTGCTTAACATAACCTCCTTCAACACACTATCAAATATAAATACTCAACCTGGTAAATGATAATATACTAAAGAGTTTTTCTTCAGCTTCCAATACCCCAGTATCCACATTGTAGCCAAAGATGGTCAAGAATGCAGTGAGATGTAATTTCAACATCAATTAACTTCATAATTTAGCACAGCACAGCACAACCCATAAGAATGCAAAAGGACGCCTGAAGAGGACAAAAATAACCTAATTGGTCTATTACGGAACAAGGATCTATAAACTTAAGGGGTAATTATTATGCCTAATTGGCATTTGAACATACCATTTGTTCAGGGTGATTAGAGGATAAAAGGTCTTGCAGCACGGATAACAGGTTCCTCTCCAATCCATCAGAAATCAACTTTAGCGCCTCCTCCTTCATAGCATTACCTTCTCCAGAGACACTTCCTAAAGACACTGCATTAATGATCAATTCCCAAACGTTGTTGAAGTTCAGCCTTAGTGAAAAAAACCTGATGCCAACAGGAGGGAGGGACTCATGATTGACTTACAGGCATGTGCGAGAATTCTCCTGGTACATTTCAGCAGGTACTGTCGCTCAATGTAATAGTCAATACATACCTGCATAAGAGGGAAGGGAATTGGGAAAAACAGAAGAAAAAACTGAGAACGATACACTAATACTAAATGCAACAAAGTAAATGTCCAATTTCTTTTTCTGTTTGATCGAAAAATGTCCACTTTCTGCAAGCAGCAAAAATTTGACATTTACACTCAACTCATCCACCCCTTACACCAGGTACGTTGAACATAAGAACTATAGCATTCAACATACGTACCAGTCAGACAATATGAGTGAGATACTAACCGCATGAAAATACTCGTGAACTATAGAGTCAAGAGCTACGTTGTTGTTCTTGAAAGACCTCTCAACAAGAATGTACGATTGCACCTCATCTAGATACTGAAACAAACAAAAAAAGTAAGTTTTGTAGCAAATGGGCAATCAATAAGACCATCAGTAGCATCTGCTTTATGTTATAGAGAACATCATTATCTAGGGCAATCAATAAGACCATCAGTAGCATCTGCTTTATGTTACGGAGAACATCATTATCTATCTGTTTCCCATAACATGAAGAAAATAACATACTATTAAATCAACCAAGCAGTAACTTCGGTTGAAAATTTGAATGCGGAACTTGCCAAACCCATAATAAGTTTCTTCAGAATCACCTTTATAATTCATATGATTAGTTTTACAAGCCACTAATTGAGAATCCAAACCAAATAAAAGTTCACAGAGAGCCCAAAAGCAAGAAACAAAAATTGCCACAAATTTATAGATTAACACAATTTCTGAAAATAATATTTACAATATAAAAAATCCAATATAGGAACATATATAAACACTAGACGCATACATATTTCAATTGTGAAAATGGAATGAAAGCAGTAGTACAAACTCACCAAATACGAGCTGATTTTCAAAGCCTTATCTTTCAATTCGGGTTTTATATCCAACTGGTGAGACCCAACTTTCACTTGCTGTGAATTCAAAGCCTCTCTTGAATTCTCATTGGGCGGCTTGAAGTGAGACAATGTGTCCACAAACCAAGCATGATTGTCCTTCAATTTCTTTACCTAAACAAAACACCAACCAAATTCAAAACACTTACTTACTTTCGCACAAATGCATGCATGAATAGAGGGATAGAGATATACATACATATATATATATATAGAGAGAGAGAGAGAGAGAGAGAGAGAAGGAGAGATTACCAAATTGGGAGGGAGGTCGGACGAGAGAGACGCATTTTCGAGCTCAGTGAGTAAAACAGAGAAAGGGTCCCACCACAGAGAGGCGTCGACGGACTTAGGGCTGGCCATTGAAGAGCCTGAAAGCTCTGACCGTTGAACTTAAACCCTAGAAGAGGGTTTTTCAGTTTCAGAAGCAGAAACACATCAATTATGGGGTTTTTACTTTACGAATTTTGATTCTTTTCGCGCTTCCTGCGATTGAAGAAATAAAAATAAAAATATACTGAATTTGACAATAATTTGGACTTTTTTTTTCGGGGGTCAGAAGAAGAAGAACGCAGATTTTCAATTGGGCTCGAACTTGACTAGCCTTCGGTTCAGTCCAAGTCTGTTGGGCTCTGTTGGGTTGAGTTTGGGTTAGTCTAACTAGCCCGAGTTAAATTATAATTTTCTAATGTTTTTCGTTGCTTTTTGAACTTTTTAATATAATTTGGAAAGTGTTGAATTTTTTTTCTTTCAAATCAATGTGAGAAGAGAATTCGAATTTGAGACATTTTACAATATTCATAAGAGAAATACAGACTAATAGCAAGTTGATAATGTTCAATAACTGTTTTTTTTTTTTTTTACATATCAAGAAATATACCAGTAACGTTACATATTTTTCTATATGTCAATTTTTTTTTCTTTTAATAATAAAATTTTGTTGATTGAAGTATTATAGAAATAAATTTGTTATTTTCGTGTTTCTTTGTGTGAGTGTGTAAAAATGTTATCATTTGTAGTTTTACTATAAATCCTTTTATTATCACATGTAAAAAGACAGTTGTACACGATGCACAAACTTTATTACCAAACATTTTAAAAGAGAGTTATTTGCACTAACACTTCCTCAAGTTTTCGACTATTTTACAAAATCCTTTGAAGGTTTCATAAATTACACGAACACTCCCTAAGGTTTCAAATTGTTTTCACAAAACCCCTTTTCCTCGTTCCTTCAAAACTTGATGATTTCATTTTTTTAAAAACGTGTGCAAATGACAAAGCAACCTTAGTGAATGTATGTGCAATCTAATCTCAAAGGTTAATTATGTCTTTTGGATTTAAAAAAAATTTATATATAAAATCATCAATCTTTGGATGAAAAAAACAATGAAAAAGGGTTTTGTGGAAACAATTTAAAACATCGGGGAGAGTTCGTGTAATTTTTGAAACCTCAGGGGTTTTGTGAAAAAAGCCGAAAACTTGAGGGGGTGTTAGTGTAAATAACTCTTTAAAATATACATTTTTCATTGTAATCAATGTTTTACTAATTTTTTTCATGAGAGGAGTAAACATTTTTTAATTGCCGATAACAACTTCTTTGTATATTACAACGCTGATTAATTGTCTATATGTATTCTCATTAAGGGAAAAAATATATGGCAAGAGATGGTTTTTTTTTTTGTCATTCATTAGAGAGGGAGAGGGGAGTGGGGAGTTTTATATAGGGTTATCTCAAGATTGTCTTCTACGTGAATCGAACTGGACGCACTTGGGGGTAGGAAGAGAATTTTGCCCACTTTTTCATTGTGGTGCCACCCATGTGCTATGACAAGAGATGGTTAACTTATGTCATTCGATGGTTCCATAATTCATAGTCTACAGACATAAATTATGTTGCATGGTCACTATCCTATCTACCTACTTCTCTATGGAGTATGGAAAACGACCCATAAATAATTGGTTTGAGTTGAGACACGCAACATTCGGCTACAAATATAGCTCGGCGAAATGAGCCTCTTTGAAAGCGACAACAATATCTGATATTTGGATCTTGTGCTTTGTTCGTCAATGGAGAAGCAACTTGAGAGCAAATGAAAATGAAAGGTAGATTAATTAGCATTTACAGGATGCTTTTATTATAGGATTTATAGTTTTAGGGTTTTCACAGTTACGCACGTATTATAATTTGAGTGAATTTGTAATATTATGCCGACATATCATAAAAGTTTTCACAATTGGTTGAGGGGTTTCTTTGAAAACAAATGTACTTCCTTCGTAGGAAAGAGTACATCTTCAATAAATGAGAACTGTGCTTTATTTTGTCAGAGAGGGGCAGATCCTTTTGAGGTTGTTGGTTTCTTAACCATACATGCACATGAGGGTTCTTGGTTACCAGTTACTAGCACAAGCTAATGGAGATGCAAAATCATTTAAATAATTATGTGTTTGTTTATGTAGGTGCATGGTGATTAGTTAGAAGGCACGTGCAATAGCATGAGACTAGAATTCATCGGCTCGATAACGACCCCGATTAGTAAACAAATTTCGATTTACTGTTAATTATGAGTGATTAATCATGTCAGCTCATGATTAACTAGCATTCGAAATGACACGATTAATTAGCATCTGAAAATTTATAAACACTGGGATTACCACACAAGTCGATTTCATAAATAAATAGAACAAGGGAAACAATGTTTCAGTTCCACTCTCTGAGTTCTCTCTCTGATCTTGGCATCTCTATAAGGCTTGAAGGTTTAACTTATTTTCACCACACAACATCCATGATCCTACTTACAACTGAAAAAAATAGTACTGCAAGTCTGCAACAGCCTAAGGATATTGAGGAACCAGAGGTGGCAGGGGTGGTAACTTGCCAATCTTTGGGTGGGGGAAGTATTTTGGGTGGATTTTGGGAATATGAGGAAACTTGGGCTTTGGGTGGGGGTAATATTTTGGGTGGATTTTGGGAATATGAGGAAACTTGGGCTTTGGGTGGGGGTAATATTTTGGGTGGATTTTGGGAATATGAGGAAACTTGGGCTTTGGGTGGGGGTAATATTTTGGGTGGATTTTGGGAATATGAGGAAACTTGGGCTTTGGGTGGGGGTAATATTTTGGGTGGATTTTGGGGATAGGAGGAAGCTTGCGAAGAAGAGGGTGTTTAGGAGTGAGTGGTGGGAGTGGGGGTTTCTTGAAGAATGGTGGAATCTTTGGCAACGGAGGGAGAGGCTTAAAGAATGGATGTGGCTTTGGCTTGTAAAATGGGATGGGAGGTGGAAGTGGCTTTTGGAAAGTTGGGACTGGTGGGGGAAGTGGCTTGTATATGGGGATTGGTGGTGGAAGTGGCTTTTTGTATATGGGGACTGGTGGTGGAAGTGGCTTTTTGTATATAGGGACTGGTGGTGGAAGTGGCTTTTTGAACACAGGAACTGGTGGACAAACTTTCTTTGGTGGTTTTGGTGGAAGTGGTTTCTTGTAGATTGGCACTGGAGGAGGCAAAGGCTTCTTGTAAACTGGAACTGGTGGAGGAAGAGGCTTCTTGTAGATTGGAACTGGTGGAGGAAGAGGCTTGTAAATTGGAACTGGTGGGGGAAGAGGCTTCTTAAAGATTGGTACTTTTGGAGGGAAGACTTTAGGAGGGAAGACCTTGGGTGGGAATGGGTGTCCAAAGAGTGGGTGTGGTTTGGGAAATGGAGGCAAAATTAAAGGTGGCAATTTGGGAAGCGGGTGAGACCAAAGGAAGGCAGAAGTGCATGTTACTGGTGAGAATTTAAGTTTGCCACCAGCCACTCCAAAGGTTTGTTTTCCTTCACTAGTCCTGGACTTGAAGACTATCTTGGAAGATTCTAGGCCATCATGGGCAGCACAAGGTGCAGCCAATGCACTGTGAAGTTGGGCATAACATTCCTCTTTTAGTTCATCATCTCCTTCTTTTACAATCTCTTTGGGAAGGGACACTATGAACTTTCCCTCTTCGTTGAGCTCCCCAAACCCTCTTGTTTTGAAGTGCCCATTTGCTGGCTTGCAGTCAATTGTCACATGAAGACCTGCAAAAGAAATTAACAAAGGTCACCTTATTGTATTTCTTCATCAATTTTTTTTGAAAGAGGTGCTTTTGATTATAAATAAGTTAATGACAATGCTAATTGTGCACAAACCTTTATTGTTTTCTTTATTCAATAGAGAAGGCGAGAGTTTAGTGTAAGTGTTCTACCGCGTGATATGTCCCGCAGAAATAAAACCTTGATGTTACAAGAATTGTGTTACTTGGGATAAAACTCTTAATGATCAGGGACCATCTGAGCCAAACAAGTAACCCCAAGAATTCCCTAATAAAAAGGAAAATTGTTCCCCAGTATCAAACGACCAGTCACTTTCTTTGACCCTTTTTAAAGTTTCACACGGACACAGCAATTTAATACATGGTAATTTTTAACACTATCAAATTTTGAAATGCATGGCTAATGAAAAATTCATCAGAGTATTAAGCAACTTAGACAGAAAAATGCAACCAGAAATTATAGTACCTGAAAAGGCCTGGCTAGTCTTAATGCTATTTTTAGCACAGTCAGTACATTCTCCAACCCCTACTACCTCAACTGTCTTATGTTCAGCATAACAAAAGCTCACAAAAAGCAAAGACAACAAGAAGCACTTCTGCAAAAGTGCTTCTTGACAGAGAGTAAAAATCTTCATTGGGAACCACACCCCAACAAAGAATAGGAAGGAAAAGAAAACAGCTTAATTCTATAAGCTTATGGTATTACAAAGCTTACAAGCATTGTTATATATAGTGTCCTTAAGGTTTTGATTTAAAGGCACGCCGACACTGAAGTTAAGGGCTTCACATGAGGTTAGGGACCCTCTCTTTTTAGATGACCTTACGTTTAGGGGAGAAGAAAATGACAGTAACGTGCAGTGCGGCTTCACCCCCCAATATGCCATTATCTTTCATTCAATGACCTCCCAACTGCAAAGTTTAATGAGTTTTGTGTTCTTATCTGTCAAAACCTACTCATTCAGCTCACATTAATACCCTCCTTTTTACACAAACCCATGTTTAAATTACCAAAATAATCCATACCCTTTACTTGCACCTGATAATTTGGCGACAGTAATACAAGTCACATACATGCAAAAGTAGTTCATAAAAAATACATTAAAAAAGATTTCAGCACACACGCGTCAAACTATAATTGATAAGAAAGTATGAGTTTCTATTTTCGAATGCATCAAACTATAATTGATAAGAAAGTATGAGTTTTTATTTTCGAAAGAAGAAAGACAAGTATTTTCTGTATATGATTGTTGCTCCCATATTTTGTTTTATTGGGTTGCTTTAATTTCTCGCAGTTGGGAAGCCTAAAAGGAGAAAAAAATTGTGGCATTTGCATGATTGATCTGATGTACATATCTACTTCACGTGATCATTTCAAACTACAAAAAACCAGCTAAGTTCATCATATCACAAGTCCAAGTCCATGTTTATTAAATGTGCACACATTCATCATATGCCTATTAAAATGAATTAAAATGGGAGACTGGTGCAGTTGGAAATTAGAATTGAAGCCTGCAGCCTACCCATTTTTCTCTTTGTCAAATTTAAAATTGGTTACTATAGAGGGATTTGTAGCTCAAGTAATTAAGAGTATTTACCCTTGTACCTGAGGTCGTAGGTTCAATTTCTCATCCCCAATATCACTTGTATTTTTTTATAATAAAAAATTTGGTTACTTACTGCATATGCGCGTGATGGTGGGGTTCCAAAACTGCGGAAGCATAGGGCAGATGGGCAAAAAAGTAGGGGGCTGCTCAAAGTAGAGCAATCAGACCAGTGGGAAAGGTAAGTTGATGGGTATCTTACAATATTAAGTCATTAACTTCGAAGGCCAAAAACAGAAAACTTGCCAATTATGAGGTTACATAAGGTAAAGGACCACCACCAGAAAACTTACCAAAAAGTTATATTGTAACTGATATAACAACGTTTTACACAAACACACCTTTCAAGATCAAATTCGAATTCGTACAATTATTGGCAATGGCGGATCCATCAATTTTACTTTGTGAAAACAAGATGGAAGAAGTTCTTGAAGGAATGTCCCCACCTTAATTTTTTTAAGGCCCAAAAAAAAACAAAACAAATAGGTTGCTAGAACAATTTAATAGGTGACAAGACTGTTCAACCTATTCGCCCATGATCATTTGTAAACCACACGTGTCACATGTATCAAGTAAATCTATATCCTAAACCTACATCATTTTATGCCCCGAAGTTTGAAACGTGAAATTTTTTTACAGTCCGTAGTACTATTGCAATAAAATGTTCATTCTGTTCAGTCAGGACAAGATTAGTGAGCAACATAAAATCAGAGTTTTTCTATTTAAACCCCATACTTTTCTTTGTTCACTCCAATACTTAAATCATTAAGCTCTTAAGTTTTATTATTGAGTTAAAAGACAAAAAAAAGTCATCCACTTATTATTGTGTTTAAACCCTATGCTTTTCTTTGGTTGTTGATTGCTCAAATTAAGAACATAATTCATTGCTATCAACAACAAAAAAACAAAAAACCACTGCTTGCAAAGTCCAGGCAATCATCGAGCTCTCGCATGACTGCTCTTCATTTGTCATTCATGAAGACATAAAGATAACCACTTGTAATTCTATCGCCATTATCTTATTGACACTGAGTAATCTTTTTATTTGTTTTTTCTGAATTTATAATTGTTTTCCTGACGTTGCTGTTATCTGGGTTATTTATTATTCTTTTTTGGTATTTATTTGAAAGGATCCTTAGTAGTTGGTTCAGTATTTCTTCAAGTTTTGGTTACATTTTCCTTTTCTTTGGGGTTCTTATCATCTGGGTTCTTGGTGATTGTTAATTGTATTTGTGCAAATGGGTTTTTAGAGATGACATTAAGTATTTTTTTTTATTTTTTCTTGTTGCATTAGTTTTTATTTTATTTATGTTCTTAAGGATTCTAGTAATTACTAACTTAGGTGCTTAAATTCATAGTGTTAATTATGCAATTTGTTTTCATTTGGTTCTGGACAACTGAGATAAAACTCTGGCGGCTTGAGCCTAGTGTGGCTGTGGAAATTGATGGAACCCCAAGAAAAAAATGAGGAGAGCCGTTTCAGAAGAGATGGACCAAGAAAAGACTGAGGTGCCTAAAACTCCTGCTGCACCAAACACCCGGAGAAGGGCTCCGACTGCTTCTACTCGACATAACACCACACAGAAGGAGAAAGTTGGGTGTGTGGGATGTGAGGTTAATGAGTTTTTATTAATTTTTTTTTTTTCTCATTGGTGTGTATTTAGGGATAGTTTGGGAAGACAGTGGGGTTTACTTAAAAATTATGAAAATTTGAGTTAGAAGTTAAGGTGAACTTAGAATATGGGGTGAATAAAAAGAATACAAATTTATAAATAAACCCAATCCTAAACATGTATTTATAAAAAAACCCAAGTACTATTTAAACATAGAAACACACCCAAAATCAACTCCATAGTCAACTTTTTGGGTGTGTTTATAAAGTGTGTTGGGTGTTGGGTTTTTTTATAATTTCAACCTCCATTTTGGGTGTTTTAGTGAAACTCCCTAAAAAGAAGCGTGTGATTTAAATAGAAAAAATCTAAAATCATTATCCTGACACATCAGTCAGGACAACTCAACTTAGTTGTTCCTAATATTTGGCAGGCCAACTAACGTTAATTGATCTAATTTACCCCCACTTACAGACAACGTATCGGATGTTGTCTTAAAACACAGCTGACATAATCTGACGCTAATTTTATAAAAACCATCTATAAAATCTCGATCATGTTGAATACCGCTTTGTAAAAAGAAAAATTAAATAAAATTTCTCACAACAAAGTATTGCCACCATTGCATAAATTCCATAGTTGAAAACCAGAAAGTAGCTGCAAGTATTTCAGCTTCCACGCTGCAGCAGTCTCACCAGAAAACCTCATTCGGTCTTGCATATCATCAAAGATATATGAAGCAGAAAACCGACTTTAATTTCACCCACAAGTAAGCCAAATCCATGCAAATTTTGGAACAAAATGAGAATCTCAAGAAAAATTGTATAGCTTCAACAAAATTGTATGATTCCTAACATAAAATCTGCGTTAGTTTTACTTCTCAACTTCATCTCTAAAAATGAAATGTAAAAAATTCTTTCAAGTCTACAACATCAAGGCACGTTTTTTTTTTCTCCGTTTTTTCTGGTCTAATTTCCATAACTAGCTCGAGTTTTCCGCCTCTCTTAAATATCTCCATATCCCTAGCGTGAGTTACAAGAGTCTGCACTTCACTGTAATGTCTTGTGCAGATGAACTGCGCCAAATTCTGTAATCTATTTCTTCTTCTTTGATGATTTGTTGAGTGACTGAGTATATGCAGTTCCCTGATCATCAAAAGCAGCAAAGAGAAACATATCAGGATCGATTCTTGGATTTATAATGAGCAAGAGAGAAGGTAAACTTAAAGCCACTCAGCTGAACCACTTACTGTAAACATATACTAAATTACAAGAACAGATGCTTGTAGCTCAACATGAAAAAATTTAGTCGAATCCCCCCATTCAAAATGTAGACTAAGGTTATAAACGCACGTTTGAAGCTCTCCAAGAAGCAACTCATTTAATGAGGGCATTACTTGGTCGACGAGAGATCTAAATTTTTTATAAAAAAAATTGTTTGAATTGTAAGACCCCACGTTTGAACAGTTGGAAACACAAAATCCGAAAATTAGTGAAACAAGTGAACAGATAAGAAATTGTGGGAAACTTTTTAGTCCAATGATTCAGCATCAACTGCATACCTGAAGCCATTCATCCATTGATGCATCTGTAGCCCTGGTTCCAACTTCCAGCTTGGGAGCCCTCTTAGTTTTCTAACCATAAACACACACAAAAAACAGAACTATGAGAAAAACGAACAAAGTTTATAATAAACACATAACTATGAGAACTAAGAGCCATGAGGAGATGAAAGGATAAAATTTGAAGAGCTTTCCTGTCTTTTCTCATCATTGCATATATACCCATGGGATATTATACGTGCATTCTTATAGTTATCTCAATAGTGTGTTAGCAATAAAACTATCTCACAAATAAGTTTCAATACCTTGGAAAGGTGTTGTATTTGGCCATGAATCCATAGACCTAGGAGGACAAGAAGGGCAAATCCAAGTGTGACAAGAAAAACAGATTCAATGCTCAGGAAAGCACCAGCCTCAACAACTTCAATGGTACCATTGTAGAAGGTGCTCTGGTATGGTTGCTGGTCTATCTCATAATATACGGTACCCACAAGATCAAAAGTTCCAGGCTGCACAATACAAATAAATTGCTTCAGGCCAATCATAACTTTTAAACCTCTCCATATATTTAAATGCGTTTGAAAGTAAAGATGACTGCAAATGCGAGCAATTTCAGATGTTAATAAATAGCAATGCATAGAACTTCCATAGGAACGCAAGTACCTGCAAGAACTTGCTGACAGCAAATATGTATGGGAAAGTAGCCTGAGCCGAAGCTGGAACTGACCCATTGTTAAAAGTCTACAATTAAACCAACACTGTTAAATACAACTGACAAATTAACCAACAAAAATTAGCCATAAGCAATTTTAATGCAAAGCATAACACAAAATTCACAAGATGAAACTAAAGAGACAGGGTTTCCAACCTAGAAAGTAAAGAATGGTGCAGGAAAAATACAAAACAAACCCAATGGTAATGCC